CGTGTTGAGGTAGCCCGTGTGGCCGATGTGGTTGGTCTTCAGCTTGCAGTTGGCCAAGTTCCACACCTGGGATGGAGAAATTCCAGGTGAGAAGAACCAAAATTTGGGTTTTTTTTGGAGGTTTGGAGGAGCTCCAGAAGCTGACCTTGACCAGCTTGTCCCAGCCGCAGGAGACGATGATGGGGTTGCTGCTGTTGGGTGAGAAGCGGACGCAGGAGACCCACTCGGAGTGGCTCTCGTCCTGTGGTGGGACGTGGCAGGAGAAGACACCGGTGACGGGACGGAGTGCAGGGTGGAGGAGAACCGGGAGGAACCGAAAGAACGGCAACAAAAAAGGACCAAAAGTCAACAAAGTTGATCCAAATTCTCCAAGATTGACCCCAAAGCCAACAAGAACCACCCCAAAAATGACCCAAAACCACCAAGGATGACCCAAAGTCACCAAGAATGAGCCAAAGCCACCAAGGATGACCCAGAACCACCAAGAACGACCCAAACCCACCAAGAATGACCCAAAACCACCAAGGATGACCCAGAACCACCAAGAACGACCCAAACCCACCAAGAATGACCCAAAGCCACCAAGAATGACCCAAAACCACCAAGAATGACCCAGAACCACCAAGAATGACCCAAACCCACCAAGAATGACCCAAAGCCACCAAGATTGACCCAAAACCACCCAGGATGACCCAAAGTCACCAAGAATGAGCCAAACCCACCAAGAATGACCCAAAACCACCAAGAATGACCCAAAGCCACCAAGAATGACCCCAAACCCACCAAGAATGATCCCAAACCCACCAAGGATGACCCCAAACCCACCAGGACCCACGAAGAATGATCCCAAACCCACCAAGGATGACCCAAACCCACCAAAAATGACCAAAACCCACCAAGAACGATCCAAACCCAACAAGGATGATCCAAACCCTCCAAAACTGACCCCAAACCCACCAAGAACGACCCAAACCCACCAAGAACGACCCTAAACCCACCAAGAATGACCCAAACCTACCAAGAACCACCTCAAACCCACCAAGAACCACCTCAAACCCACCAAGAAAGACTCAAACCCACCAAAAAGGACCAAAACCCCCCAAAAACGCCCCCAAAGTCCCAAAATCGACCCTGGCCAGGTCTCACCTGCACCGTGTACTTGCAGACCCCCAAGGTGTTCCAGAGCTTGATGGTCTTGTCCCGCGAGCCGGACACGATCTGCCGGTTGTC